TCTCACAGAAGGAGACTGATGAGCTTTCTTCTGTGTATCCACTGGTGGATTTGAACCACCAGAGAGGCACCACCTTTGGGCTAACAGCATAACTCCCTATGGACTTTACCATCAGAGCTCTCATAGGTTATAAAAAGAGTTGTCTGGGTGGAAGGTGGACCACTATGACCAGAAGTGATTATTTACCACTTAAAGGTTGATCACAGATAAACTCATTTATATAAAGAACAAACAGATACATCTTGGAGAGGGAGCAGCTGCAGTGCTCTTTGGAAGCAAGAGTGATGAGGCTTGGCCTCACAGACTTTGGGCTTGTTGCTGAGAGGGGCTATTCCTTGGAGAGGGACAGGATGCCACGAATGGTGGACGGTCAGCAAAGGAGAGGAAGACCCTCAACCAGGTCGATGACATGGTGACTGCTACAATGGGCTCTTGTGTGTCAGGAAATGTGAGGATGGGACAGGAGAGTAGAACAGGTAGAGAAAGAACAGGGTTCAGATCTTTCATTCACGAGGTCTTTTGTTCAGATCTTTTGTTCATGAGGTCACTATGAGTCGTGCTTGACTCGACAGCACCTAACGAATGACAACAATATATAATTTATAGTACTCCCCCCCCCCTTTTCTGGCAAAAAGGCATTCAGAATTCTATTACTGAATACATGGCACAAGAAATAGCCTTTATTATTCTGTACATTTATATCTCTGTGAATAGAACAGCTTTGAAAATAAATTCGTGTGGGACATAGACATCTACATGACATTGGAACGGTCCATGACACAAAGAAGACACCATTGGAACAGTCCTTATTTACACAAAGCAGGGAGACGGAGGGATGAGCATGAGTACACAGAAAGGACTTCACATTACCCACTGTTTCAATACCTTCTGTGGTTACAGTGACAGCTCAGGCTCCGCACAGCTGTGGAGTCTGGGACATACATGTGAGGATGACTCGTTACCCTCAAAACCCCCAGGAAAAGTTTCAAAACAGTTTGCTGTATTCAATGCCAAGTGTTTCTGGCATCAACTGAAGAAATATCAGAGAGACTGGGTATCGAGAAGAACCATCCTCTGACAGCCAGCTCACTGACTTCTCTCTGCTTAACAGCTCACTGGACACTGGGTCATCTGCAGTTAATCATGAGCTCCTTGTATTCATAAACAGAATACGAAGACATGGAGAGAGAAGTTTTGGGGTTCTGGGAGGGACTTCCAAATATTTAATCTGACTATTGATTTTAAATCTAAAGACTATGGAAGCCCTGAGAGGCTACATCCCTCCCTTGGCCACCCAATTAATAAGTGGGAGAGCCAGGACTCAGTCCCAGTTTTGTGTGACATGAAGGACTGTTTTCTCCCCACTGTGTCACACTCTGTCTTCATTCTTCTACATTCCGTGGCTTTCAAAGAAAAGAAACAGGTGGGTGAATGTGTGGGCTTGTTTTACTGTCAGATCCCTTCTTTGGTAAGGATATGAATTCTTTCTTTGGTCAGTCAGACGACACTAGGGCTGGAAAAAAGGCTCTAATAGTGAGACACGTGCTCCCTCTCACCCAGCTCTGGACTTTTGTTTACCAGGATATTTGACAAAAGAGGGCACCACCTCCACTTCTTTGTTTTACACGCATTTAGTATCAAGGAGAACAGGTAGGTGCTGAATAACCACTGTGCAAACGGCATCTGACTACTTGCTGAAAAGCTGGCAGCTCGAGTCCACTAGCAGTGCCCTGAAAGAATGTTCTGGCAATCTACTTCCTCCAGATGCCGGCCCTTGAAAGCACTATGGAGTGTAGTGCTTCTCTGGACTCTGTGGGCCTCCGTGAGTCAGAATCAACTCCACAGCAGTGGGTTGGGTTTGGTATTTGTAAATGTTAACATGAAGATCATGAACATATTTTACATTTCATGGAAAAGAAGGATTTTTTCAAAACCTGGTAACGTATTAAAAGTGAGCTATCCATACAGTACACAAGAGCACTCCTGCTCAGGATAAACTCTGTTATTACAAAACAGAAACAAACAAACAAAACCCCCACACACAAAAAAGAAGTCATACGTTACATAGGACAGTGCAAATACCCCTTTGCATTAAGTGCAGGTGGAAAGCGAACCCACAGGCATCCAGCACCTGCCATGGGGCTCCTGGGACTCCCTCCTTCCTCCATCACTAGAGGCTCTGGACTTGGAATCAGTTTCCTCTCATCCCACTCCAAGCTCAGGAGCCAATTTCCACCGCAAAGCAGCACCATTGCCTCGGTTTGATGTGGGTTCAGCAAACACCACATCTCAGATTTTCCCTTGGGACAGATGTCAGAAGGGAGACGGGCCCCATGCTGATGGTGAGAAGAAAATTGCAGAATTCTTCCTCAGAACTTTGCTCTCTTCTCCTCCACATTGCGCTTTTTGCTTGTTAGCTTTTTCAGCTAAAAGGATTCAACTTTTTGCCCCCTCCCCACAATTTCAAAGTATGATTATTTGCATCAGAAGAGAGCAGCTAAATAATGTCCCCAGTTGGATGAGAAGAATGACATCAACGCCCCTCTTTCTATTGTTCAACACTTTGTTCTTTTGCTGAGAAGTGTTTCTTTGCCACTTGACTGGGTTAAAAAAAAAATTATAGCCCCAGGCAGAAAGACACATTGTACTGGGTATTTCAAAGTCTTCTCTGGGTGGGAGGTCAAGGGATCCAAATTCAAGGTCTGACTTGACTCCTTAGCGGCTGAGACATTATGAGCGAGACTGATTTTGAATTTGTTTGGGGCTCATCATTCTGCTACAGGGTTTCCCATAGCCACAAGTCCAAACTTCCAAAGGGAGCATGAAACAGTCTCAAATCGTGAACAGGATCCCCAAACAGAAGCCACTGAGTTCCCAAACCAGGAAGCATTTCTCTTACTGAGCAGAAACAAACTGTCACTGCAGCTGTGGGAGAGCGTGTATCTGAAGTAAACGTGTGAGCTTGTGCCTGAAAGTCAACCTAGGAACTGTCCACTCGTCATTCTGTTCCACCCTAGACTTGACTGGCAGCTGAAAGCCTCCTCTCCAGAGATGCTGTGTGCTGGTGCCCTCAAAGGTGCCACGTTTGATCCACTAAGAGAGGCAACAGGAGTTTATAAGACCAATTTCCATTGCTCAGGACCCCTGACCCATGTTGGGGAGAGCCTCGGGGAAAGGCTTTGCAGGGGTCCTTGAAAAAGAAATCACTTCTTCTGTCAGGCCAGCAGGAAATCTCATAGTTGATACATTAGACATGTGACCTTTCTAGTCTTGGCCCAAGTTCCCCGGGAAGGTGTCCAGCTTCCAGACCCAGGGCTGTGTGCTTGATAGATAGCACATGACCAGCATGTGGTCTCAGTGGACATGGCTCACCGAGCGAGCTCTACTAGCTGTACTCACTGGGGCTCATCTCCACTCCTCCCCGGGACACCTGTGACTCTGGGACACCAGATCACCTGCCCAGGATCTATTTGAATGAGAGAAAACAAGCATGGGTGAATGTCATCCCTCACATGACAGAGAACATCCTGGAACATGCACAAAGCAAACTCAGGTTAGCCAGAATGAAAACTGACTCTGGAGACTTCTGTTCACAGTCCCCCAAAGCACCGAACAAAGGACTTCAATTCAGGAACAAAGAAATCCAAGTTCCCAGGCTGAGGCGCAGACCCCAGCGAGCAAACTGGGGCTTGTGAGCGAAGTCTCCCCGAGACTTAGCTGGAGGTTTGGCTGTTAGTTTCAGTTTTCTTTTGGGAATCTCTGACTCAAAGTATCTCCCTGATTCAGTGGAACTGAGCATTTCCCACTCTGGCCCCAAACACAGATAGCTGTGGTGAGGACTTCTGCCTGTTATGGGACGAGGAGTCCTTGTCACGAGTGTACTTGGACAGGCTAAGAGGTTGAAATTTCTCCTCAAACCAAAGATACTCAACACAGATTTTTTGCCTTCCTTGCCTTCTCTCCTCCTCTTCCTCGAGGTTTGCCTGTCTGAGCTCACAGCCCCCTTGGCAATGACAGTTACGAAAGAAAACCAGAGTCACTGAATTATTGGTCAATGGGAAAAGAGAAGGGATTGGAAGGGACATCTTCCAGGGGAGGAATCCCAAGAGGGTGTCCCGGTGGTGGCGAGGTCAGCGCCTTGACTGGGACCGTGGCAGGTGGGGTTCCTCTTCAGGGCCCGCCTCAGATAGCCAACCAGTGCTGTAACTGCAGAGAAAGATGGAAAGCTGTCATGACAGGACTTGGTAGGCGTGGCCCAAGAGGACTGACCAAGAGCGCAGCCAGAAGCAAAGAGCAGGTGAAGGAAACAGAGCCCTAACAGCTGGTTTCATGGCCAGCACAGAACCACAAGTTAGTCCCTACTTATCACCGAGGCCCAGAAAGAGCAAAGGACACCCCCCAAGGCCCCCACCTCCGCCATCCCTGAGGGGGAAAGATGAACGTGTCACTGATACGATTTCAATGCTTCTTTCAGGATAAATTCTCAGCTGGGTTTGCGACATTCACAGCTGTAGAATAGGGTTGTGGGGAAGACTGGACATTAGGATCACAGGTTCAAGTCCCAGTATGGCCTCCTACCAGCCTACCAGCATCTGGCTGAGGTTAATGCAGGAGTAGGCGTGGGGTGGGAGCTGCTAACACAGGCTCACACTGCTACAAAGCACGGATTGACTCTTGGAAGCATTTAAGGAGTTCATATTTCCCTTTTTAACAAACGGAGAATCTGAGGCATAAGCAGAGGAAAAACAGAGCGATTGGTCCAAAGCTACCAGCTGGAATGTAAGCTCCACTCAGCTCCTGGTTCTCTCCCAGGATGCTCAAGACCCCACCATCCCCTGCCCCTTCTCCTTCCTTCCTTTCCTATCTGGGGCTAATCACTCTAACCCTTTCCTCTGCCAGAGGCGGGAACACAGGGGTAGGCGGTCCTGGAGAAGGTCCAGAGCAGTCCCCTCCTCCTTCCCCAACACCACACCACGGGTGGGGGGAATCTGACCATGGCTGGGAGGGTCAGGGCCAGGCCGCACCCACCTGGAACTGCCTGATATCCCTCTGGGCCACCAGGTGGTGCTCGTTCTCTGGTGTGATGCCGTAGGCCAGTCTCTGTGAAGGAGAAAGGAGGCGGCCTCAGCATGGCCCCAGACACCTCCAAGTAAGAGCTGCCTGCCTTTTTAACCCAAAGTCTCACATACAAGGATTGTGCATGAGGTCCCCACCAGGTACCCTCAGTGTCCTTGAGTCATTCACAAGTAAATGTGTATTGAAATCCCTACTGGGTGGGCCGGTACTGGGTCCTGGGGAACCAGAGCTGAGGAGACCCTGGGGCTCTGCTTTGGGGAGCAGGCAGGCCTTATAAGGACTTGGTACTAAATCATTGTTAACTGCAATTCACTTAAGCACTGCAGAGGAACTCAGATGGCAAGAAGAGTGTGGAAGGGGGAGTTGAGTAGGACGGTTCCCTGAAGTGCACATATTTGGGTGCACGGAGCCTCAGGAACGTATTTTAAAGGGCTGTTCACCGGAGAATTATGTACTGTCGAGTTGGAACTGACTCATAGCTGACCTCTGGCAGATTTTCAGAGGCAATTAATAATTGTCCACCCTTCTCCCTCAAAGCAGCTGGCTGTCTTTTAGAATTGCCGTGCAGCTTCTTGCCACTGGGCCACCAGAGCTCTAAGAATAAAAGCGTTAGGATACATCCAAACAGATCATGGTCCTGTGACCAAGATGAGTTCACGGGACACAGGTTTCTCACAGGGATCCAGGAGGGGGGTCCTGTCTGGGATTCCGCACACAGCAAACAGCATAAGGAACAGGAGCAGCAGGGAGGACTGCCTTGGATCCCCCTACGTTCAGCCTAAGCTCCTAAGACTCAGGCCCATAAGGTCCTCCATTTATGATCTGTACTATACTGGTGGCCTAGTGGCAAGAAGCTGCGCTGCAATCCCAAAGGCATGCAGTTCGAAGCCACCAGCTGCTCTGTGGGAGAAAGCTGGGCAATCTCCTCCCTTGTGATTAACTACCTCTGAAAACCCACAAGAGGGTCAGCTATGGGTCAGTTCTGACTTGATGGTATACAACAACAACAACAACGATGGCAACAACAACAACAATGACGACAACAACAACGTCTCCTCCATTAGAACATAAACTCCACACAGCGAAAGCTCTCTGCCAATTATCTATGATAATACTGGGTACATATTAGATTCTCAATAGATGCCTGGGAAATAAATGAATGAATGATTGAAAGATTTCTTTTGCAAAGACAGCCAGAGGGGAGGGGAATGTGTTTCGGGCGCTGTGTGCACCCTGGCCTCCTGCTGCTTGCTCGGACTTGGAATTTGAGCCTTTAAAAACATTAGCTTGATGCCAGTCACTCGATTTCCATTCATTGTGACCTTTCATTGGCTTTCTGAAGCTATAGATCTTAATAGGAACAGATTGCCTTACCTCAGTTCCACAGAACCCACAGGTGGATTAAAAGTGCTGACTTTTATGCCACCACGTAACCCACTATGCCACCAAGGGCTCCTTCAAACCAATAGGAGGAAATAACAAACAAAACAAAAGCTGCTTTCCCTTAAAAAGAAAAAAAAAGTTACAAGACCACAGATGGATGTTGCCTGAACAATATTAGGTGATGCATATCTGTATGTGTGTACGTGTGTGTATACACACACAGTGTGCTGTTTAAAGAAGAAAGTTGTTGGGTTGGTTTTTTTAAATTACTGGTGTAGACTGATCCGGTTCGAGAATGAGACCCAACGTGGTGAGGTTGCAGTGGGCTTGAGAGCAGGCAGTCAGGACTTCTGAGGCTATGACACGCATTAGGATTGGGGACAATTAGGCTGTTTTATCAATCTGTAGTCATCTCGGGATTGAGCACCACCTTCTGTAAGTGGTAGGTGCCGCTGTAGTGAAACTCCCTGGGTGCCTGGCTCTGTGACTTACTGCCACTGTTTCTTCTGTGCTAATTCTGATTCATAGGACCCCATGGAGGAGAGTAGAACTGCTCCCTAGCTTTTTCAAGGTTGAGACCTTTCAAACTTATTTCACCACGTCTGTCTTCTTAGATGCTGCCTGGGAGGGTTCAAACCACCAACCTTTCAGTAGTAGTCATGTGACACTCTTCCTTTTCCCTTCTAGGGGTTGTATTATTAGCCCCATGTTGCGTAGGGGTGGATAGGATGACATTCTGAATGTGATGAGTGATTGACCCTAATGTCTATGGCCTGCCGTCTCACCATTCTCATCTCATCAGGCAATGACTGGGATGCCCACTCCCGCCCTGACCCCCACTGCCCCTTGGCTGCCAGAGAGCTCACCTCCCAAAGGGAGCCCCGGGTGCTGAAGAACTTGTAGATGATGTAGGCGGGCACCAGGACCATGGAGGAGAAGGCAATGCCCCAGCCGACCCAGTTGGCCCAGGCGGGGAAGACATAGTCGTCATAGGTGAGCGGTTTGAAGTTGATGATACTGACCACCACTACGAACTAAGAAGAGGGGACGGGAAGAACGAGAGAGCAGGAGAGTGAAAAGGAGACAGAGGAGAAGAGAGACAAGGGGGGAAAAGAGATGGCAAGAAAGGAAAGGAAGGAGGAGGTGGAAGACATGGAGATGGAGGGAGATGAGGATGTGTGAGATGGGTGAAGAGAGGAACACGAAAGGAGAGAGAGGAAGTTAGTAGAAAATTCAGGAAGAATGGAAACAAAGTGAAGAAGGAGGAAGACATGGCTGCCTTGAGCTGGGTTATGTGTGGTGTGATGACACAATCATCCCCGGGGACCCAGGCTCAGGACCCCCCTAAGTTGGAAGTCCACAATGGTCACATCAGTACCCAGCACCCTCCCCCCAGCAGCAAAGGTGCCCACCCACCCTCACCTTCAACACAGCCACAGGCTACCCACCAAGAGGAAGGCAGGGCTGAAAAACTTCCAGCACAGTCTCCAGTAGAGGCCAGGCTTAAACCCCATCATCTGCTGGATGTCGTCACTGAACCTGTCCACACCTGTGCACACAGGGCAGGCCCATCACTGTGGCCCACAGAGCCCTCAGTCACCCTTGCTGCCCTCCCACCAGCCCGGGCTCCTGATGCCCTGGGAAAGGGGGGGTGCAGCAAGACAAGGAGGTCCTGGGACTTGGAGGCACCTGGACCAATGTTTTACTGGCTGTAAAGGAGAGGACAGACTCAGAAGCATGACCACCTTCTATGTGCCACGTCAATTTCTTTTCAAATTCTTTGCTCAAGGTTACCTGGCAGGTCAAGTTGCCTCAAAAGTCTCATCTCCTTTCTCTTTCTCATCTTAAGAACAACTGTGATGTATAGAGCACTTTCCCTGGTTTTAATCTGGTAGAATCATCGATTGAGATTGCTTTCTAACTGATACAAAGAAAATGAAAATAGGATTAATAAAAATCCTTTAGCATGTCATCTGGAAAAGGGCAAAAAAAAAAACCAAACCCCAAAAAACCCCCAAAACTTAAACCCCATGAACAACCCAGGAGTTTGTAAAATGTTCTCCCAAGTCTCTTCTTTTGATTAATATTGATAGTTGTAGAGCGGCTTCAGGCCTTTTGTTCATAGCATCACTCTGACTCCTGCTTGATTCGAAAGCAATCAACAACAACAATAACAAGTCACTTCTAGAATAAGATTGCCATATAAAATATAGGAAACCCAGTTAAATTTAAACTTCAGGTAAACAACAACAACAACAACAATGTATTTTCATATAACTATATCCTATGCAGTATTTGGAGTCTTTGGATGGAGTAAATGGTTAATAAATGTGCTTGGCTGTTCATCAAAGGTTGGCGGTTTGACTACACCAAGAGGCACCGTGGAAGAAAACACAAGCATCTTCTGAACAATCAGCCACACTATGGACACGCATGGAGTCGCCGTGATTGGAACACACCCCACAGCAGGGAATGACATTGCTGACCCTTTCTGGTGGTTCAAACCCACCGGCAGCTTTGTGAGGGAAAGATTCACAATCTTCCCCCACGTGTCTTACAGCCTCAGAAAGCTGCTGCAGGGTCAGCTATGAATGACTTCTACCACAACAGCCACGAGCTGGTTTATCCTAAAAGAGAACGCATTGTTTATCTGAAAGTCAAGTTCAACTGAGTGTCCTCTATCCGATCTTCAAACCTGCCAAGCCCGCTCTACACTGGATTACATGGTGGCGGCAGCTTCCTATGGCCCCTCTTTGCTAAAGCGAGTTCATCCAAAATTGAATGGATGGCTGGACGGTCTTCAGAAAGTAACATGCCCAGCTCTGCATTTAGCAGGAGGCTGCCCCGGGGTGGAAAACCCCTTTGCATCTCCAGGTGAAAAGGCTCCCAGAGCCCTTCTTCACGCACAGGGACGAACACTCACCATAAAACCAGGACACTCCGATGGCCTCCATGAGCACAGCAAACAGGATAGATGTGCCTGCCGCAAAGGTGTCCAGCAGGGTCAGTACATATATTCCACCCTGTGGCACAGCAAGGGCAAGTCAGAGGCTATGCTGGGCTGCTGGGTGCACCCTAATATACCTGTGCCCTCTTCTACTCCCCCAGCTGTTTGAAAGTGCGTGCAGTGGAAACACATACTGTAATATTCTTGTTATCATTCCTATGTGTGGGAGAAGGATGGGTAATCTCCTGTGCAATTACCTGAAAATCCCCGGAGGGTCAGCTACATACGGGTTGGTTCTGACTCACTGGTACCCAACAACAACAACAATCCTATATAGTTGCGTTTTAGCAAAGCCAACTGGAGCTATGAGGGCCTAAAGAAAGGAATTACAGTCAGGAGAGAGAGATGAGTTTCCAAGGGACTTGCTGACTCGAATCGGCAAGCAGTCAGAGAGGTTATGCAGAAAATTCCTTGTGTTGGGGCTAGGATCTAATTCCAGGAGATGAGGCCACAGGGTGAGGCCAGAAGCTCCTCCCACTTACTCCACCCTCAGCTTCAAGGCCCTTTACACTTGTTATCTTCCCTCGCTGCCCCTCAGGCCCAAGGCGCAGCCCCCTCACCTTGGTTATGCAAAACAGGGCCAGAAGGAAGGTGCTCACGGTCACCCCGAATGTGAAGAGTTTCCGGTGCCGCTTCAGGATCTGGAAGTCATCGGCCAGGCCTGTGATGACCGCCTCCATGCCACCCATCTGGAGGGAAGCAGGTGAGTGGGGGGAGAAAGAGAGGAGAGGACAAGGTTCAGATCTGTTGGTCACAGGGTCGCTGTGAGTCAGCGTTCACTTGATTGGAACCTAACAACCCAAGCACGTGAGCCATTTCTCTGAAATCTGTATGGTTTATGGATACCAGTAAAAGACATCAAGAATCTAATCTAATAGACGGTGTGATGGTTAATACAGTGTATCAATCAGCATGGCCGTGATCTCTCACAGGGCCACTGGTGGGTATGAACTACAGAGAGGAAGGACCTTTTGGTCCCAGCGTAACTCTTTGCTGGCTTATTTATTTGTGACTCTTTCAGGCTTAGCTTTTTCACATCAATGGCAGGGGTGGGGAGATTTCTACTGAGCTTGGACTTTGCCTGAGTCTTACCTTTCTGAATGAGGACTCGCTTTATGGCTTGCATTGCTTTCTGGAGACAACTGCTCCAAGAGATCAGAGCAGTGGAATGTATACGGGTTATAGGGTCGGGAGAGGGGAGGTCCAGAAGTGTAGGGGGAGAGGATACTGAGCAGATCACTCACCGAGCTGTCAATGCCCAGAGCCAGGAGCATAATGAAGAACACAACAGCCCAAACTGTGGATCCCGACAGGGTGGAAATGGCTTCTGGGTACAGAATGAAGACTAAGCCAGCTCCTGGAAGACACAGCAAAGGCCTCTTCAGTAGCTGGAACTGTTGATGTTAAGAGACCCAAAGTGCCCTCATCCAACCCCTAGTTGGTCATATGTGAGCATAGCAGACCCAGGGCCCAGAGATGGCAGGTGCAGCTAGCAGGAGCGTACAGGGCAGCTGCATTCACCTATGCACCAAGGCAGCGGACCTCAAACAGCCAGGCTATAGAGTAATGCATGGCATGGGAGACTATAGATACCATGCTCTGAATTGCAATTCCTGGATAAGAACTTAGGGTCTTGAGAGTCTGTGGAGACAGTCAGGTTCTTTGTGCCCAGAAGGATATGGAAAACAGTGAGGAAGGGCTCAGACGTCAGAGTCCAATTCACATGGGCTTGAAAGTTGGCACCTTTATTATTTAGCTTGAGGCCATAGTTTTTTCATCTTGAAAGTGAGTCTCTGTGTGGAGCAAGTGGTTTACAATCAACTACTAAAAGGCTAAACGGGAGAGCTCTGGTGGCCTAGTGGCAAGAAGCTGCACTGCAATCCCAGAGGCGCACAGTTCAAATCCACCAGATGCTCTGCCGAGGAAGGAGGGACAATCTCCTCCTGTACCAGTCAGATCTGATTTGACGGTACACGCACACAAAAAAATAATAAATTTTCTTTAAAAAGGCTAAACACTGGCAGTTCAAACCTTATCTAACTTGGGAGGAACTGGAGAACATTATGCCTAGTGAACTAACTCAGTCTTGCAAGGATAAATCTTGTATAAAACTGTCATTGTAGAATGAGTATAAGGATCCAGGAGGGGTGGGAGAGGCTGGAAGCAGAGGGATGTGGATGTGCAGGGGGAAGAGGGAATTAGTCACTGGATTGTACAATTTGACGGATGGAGGGGTGAGGGAAATGGAAAGAAAATTTGTGTTTGAATTTTGTGAAATAAACTAGTAGAAAAAGTGTATAAAATTAAAAAGTTAAAAAATGAGGCTATAAGGCACTATATAAATTTGAATTTTAGATAAACAATGAATGTTTTTAGTTTAAGTGTATTTTATACAATAATTGGATGAATGTAAACTTCCTAATGAGAGGGAGTCTAGTACCCAGAATAGTACCAATAATTAATGTGCTCAATAAACATTTTTCAGTTGAAAAACAAACAAACAAAACCCCCTATGGAGCCATTTTACTCTAATGCATGGGGTAACATTTATAGAGTTGTTAGCAATGGATTTGATTTTCCTGTTCATTGTTCCACTGTGAAAGCTATATGAAGGCGTGTGAAGTACTTAGTCCAGGGCCTGGTACGTAGAGGAAACTCCGGAGAAGGCCCCAAATACCCAGGGTCCAAGAACAGTTGAAATTCCCACTGATTGCCTCAAGAGAACATCTGGAGAGTGGACCATTTGGAAACTTCCAGGTCCAGTCCTTCCTGTCCAGTAGACACAGAGGAGTTGTGAAGCCCGAAATGAGTTGGATTTGACAGCCCCTCCAGGATGAGCTGGGGCCAGCACGGTCTCCTCACTCACCTTCAGTGGCAACGTCTTCAATATTGACCTTGTGCTCGTGGGCCATGTAACCCAGGATAGAAAAGATGGCAAACCCAGAGATGAAGCTGGTGACACAGTTGATGGTGCTGGTGAGCAGGGCATCCCTGGGGGGAGAGGGGAGAAGGACTGTTGGTTTATACCCATTGATCCCTCTCCAGCCCTGTCTATTCGCCAGCCAGCCTCTGTGTAATATGCAGCCTGCACAGAAATCCAAACTCCACCTTCCTGCTTTCAGTATCCCTGCTGCCACATGATCCCCAGCGTCCCACCATCCCTGCAGCAGCACCTGCTGGTGGGGCAGGAATTGGGTTAATAACTTCAGGTGGAATAGTCGGATATCAGAGTCTGGTATCAAACTCACTTATTGCAGTAAGAATTCTAATAGTTTTGCCCTTTAACAAATTCTCCCCAGTGCTTCTCAGCTTCTCTTGCTGGCATCCAAGATCTTTCCTAAGATGATTCAATTTCCTTTCTGTGATTATTTTCAATGACTCTTTGAACAAACCAAGCTTGCTGTTCCACAAAAATACCCCTTCTCTATCTTTGCTCCTGCTGCCCCACCCACCATGAATGCTGCACACCCTATGTCTGCCTGACAAACCCTAACTACCTTCCAAGGTGCACCTCAAGTTCACCTCCATGCTTTAAATAGTCCCTTGTCACAGGAGCAATTTCCCTCCCCGCCTCCCATTCTCTAGGCCTTTTTATTACCTGTTCTTAAGGTGTTCATTCTTCCTTCTTGGTCTTAAGGTGAAAGAGTTGTTGACTACTATGAACAACAGATTGGCCACTGTCTACAGTGGACTGCTATGAACAAAATCGTGATCTGACGAGCAACAGATCTGAACCCAATGTTATCCTCACACTCGATGTGATCAAGGTCATTTCTACCAAGACCATTGTTACTATGTCAATTCATGTCATTGAGGGTCTTCCATTCTTTCACTGATCCTCCACCTTTCCCAGTGTGACGTCTTTTGCCAAAGAAAGTCTCTTCCTGACATCAGACTTAAAGTATGTACAATGAAGTCTCACCATCCTTGCCTCTGAAGAGCACGTTGGTTTTACTTCTTCCAAGATAAACTTATTTGTTCTTTTTACAGCTCAAGGGATGGTCAATACTCTTCTTCAACACCACAACCCAGCCATCAACTCTTCCGTCATCTTTATTCATTGTCCAACTTTCCGATGCACAGGAAGTAATTGAAGTAATTTTGGATCAGAAGCTCCTTAGTCTTTAAGCTGACATCCCTGCTCTCTAGCACTTTGACACAGTCCTTGACAGCAGTTTTGCCCAAGGTAACATGTCTTTTTTGGGGGGTGGGGGTGGGTAACATGTCTTTTGATTTCTTGACCGCTGTTACCATGTATGTTGAATGTTGCTGTTGTTAGGTGCCGTTGAGTCACTTGCTAGTCATAGCGACCCTATGTACAACAGTCCTAAACTCTGCTCTGTCCTGTGCTGATCGCACTGTCTCTGACACTCCCATCCTGAATACCCCAGTCACTGAATCAATACACCTCACAGAAGGCCTTCCCCTCCTGCACTGTCCCTCCACCCTCCTTGCTTGCATGATGTCCTTCTCCAAGGACCGGTCTCTCCTTACAACATGTCCAAAGTATGTTAGACGGAGCCTCAGAATCCTTGCCTCCAAGGAGCCACCCAGTTTAACCCTTTGCAGGATGAATCTTTACATGGTACTCTCAATACTCTTCTCCAGCACCACAGCTCAAAGGCATCAATTCTCCTTCTATCCTCCTTGGTCATTGTCCAACTCTCTGATGCATAACAAGTGATAGCAAAGACCATGGCCTGTATCAGCTGCACCTTAGTCTCCAGAGAGACACCATTGCTCTTCAGTACTTTGGAGAGGTCCCTAACAGCAGACTTTCCCATGGCAATACGTCTTTTAACTTCCTGGCTACTGGTGCTGAGAGTGTTGACTGTGGAGCCAAGCAAAATAAAGCTGTGTACAATCTTAATCTCTTCACCATCCATCCCAATGCTGCCAATTGGCCCAGTGGTGAGAGTCAAGTAAAATGAAATCCTTGACAACTTCAATCTTTTCTCCATCTATTGGTCTAGTAATGAGGATTTTTGTTTTCTTGAATTTGAGAGGTAATCTACTGTAGTCTTTGATCTTCTGGATTGAGTGTTTAAAGTCTCTTCACTTTCAGCAAGCAAGGTTGTGTTATCTACACGATGCAAGTTGTTGCTGCATCTTCCTCTAACCCTGGTGCCCTCGTCTACCCGGTATAGTCTAGTTTCTTGAATTATTTGCTCAGCTTTCAGATTGAAGAGGTATGGTGAGTACCTTTCCTGATTTTAAACCAGTGTTCCCTTACTCTGTTCAGACAACAGCTAAATTAAGTGTTCTGAGATTCCCATTTTTCTCAACGTTATCCAAAATTTTTGATGATCCACACAGTAAAACACCTTTTCAGGGTCAACAAACACAGTTATCTTTCTTATATTTTCATTTAGCCAAAATTCATCTGACATCATCAATGATAACCTCTTCTGAATCCAGCTTGGATTTCTGGCAGTTCTCTATGGATTTGCTGCTCCAGTAATTTTCTAATACTCTTCAGCAAGATTTTACTTTCATGTGATATTAATGATACTATTTGATAATTTCCATAGTCTGTTAGATTGACATCTTGGGAAACGGGAACAAATACGAGTCTCTGCCAGTCAGGGACCTGTTTTCCAGATTTCTTGATATAGACTATTACACATGTCTAGGGCTGCATCTGTTTGTTGAAACAAGTTAAATCAGTATCCCATCAAATCCTGGGACTTTATTTTTACCTTCAGTGGAGCTTGAACTTGTTCCTTCTTTGCCATTTGTTCTAAGCATATGCTACCTTCTGAAATGTTTCAGTGTTGACCAATTCTTTTTGGTACAGTGACCGTTTGTAGAACTTCCATAGCCTATTGATAGAGTTATGCCTTAATGTTTTAGAAAAGAGTCATAAATCTAAGCCTAAGTTTGTACTCATTTCTGAAGCCTTCACAGGACAGGGTCTGCAGAAGGCTGTGTAAATGCTTACTGATCAAAGTCAGAGCACGGCCTTCTGACTTTTCCACCCTGTATAGGTGTCCAGTTTGCCCTAAAGTCTTCCTTCTGACCCTGCTGGGCCCTTGCTCTCACACCTGACTATCCAAGATATTCTATCCCAGGCCTCCTGGCTCTCTGATAGACATAGTCAATCAGTTCTAACCACTCTGAAAATGACACTGTGCTCCTCCATCCCAGCTACTTCCATGACCGTCTACTCTAGTGGCCTAGTCCTGCCCCTCCAGTCTCTTCCAGAGACATCTTGAACTGAAATATGTTCATCAGAATTGTCACAAGCCATGACAGAGTTTACGGAATCCTGAGAATGGTTCTCTCTTCCAATTTCACGGAGGAAGACTGAAAGAGAAAACGAGCTTGTCCAGCTTTGCAATCTAAGTCATCGGTAGAGCCAGGAATGGGAGCAGCAGAGTTAACTCCAGACCACAGTCCTTTTTTTCATGGCCACATGGGTTAATCCTTAAGACTTGGAGTTTTCCAGAGCCCTGAGAAATAGCGTACCTGTAACAGTTGTTGTCAAACTTGTTGTAACTGGCAAATGCAATCAAGACTCCAAAGCCAGCTCCCAAGGAAAAGAATATCTGAGTCGCAGCATCTATCCACACCTGGAAACAGCAGACAAAAACCATTACCTGCAGCAGCTCATGGAATGGGACCACCTCATTGCTCGAAAAGCACCTGGAAGTCTCAGAGATGCTCTGAGAACCAAAGAAATGTGATCTGAATCAGAGGCAGACAGTCATGGAAAATTCCCAGCTCCCACATATCCAGCCCAAAACAAGCACGGGTAGTGCCAACAGTTAATGTGCTAGTTTGTCAGCCAAAAGGTTGGAGGTTCAAGTCCACTGAGAGGCACTTGGAAAGAAATGTATAAAGAGTTCAGTTCTACGCTGACATACGTGGGTGATCTTGTGTCAGAATTGACTCAGTGATAACTGGCTGGTGACCTGACCATGAGTGGTTATGACTGAGCTCGCCCAAAATTAATGCAATGATTCAACATCTAGTCATGATTTTTAGATTGAAAAAAAAAAAAGACTCTCATTGTCATCAGGTTGGAACTGACTTGTACTTGACCTTCCAGCAGGTTTTGGAGGCTGTAAATTGCACAGGAGGAGATTCCCTATCTTTGTTCTGTGGAACCAGCAGGAGCTGGTCCAACTATGATCTGAACATGTCTGAGTCACTGGGTATCACTAAGTTTGCCTCTGCTCCCAAGTTCACCACCAGCAGCTCCCTATTTGGATTCTGTGAGCTGAGGAAGAAGTAGGGAGCAAGAGTCATCAGGTTCAAGGTCTTGTTTCTGTTCCTTATGCTGTTGACACAGCCTGGTGATGAATGCTGGGGTTGCTCACTAGAGGATGAAATAGAGCTGGAGTGACAGATGACCCCTGACATAGGATCCATCCAGGGCATATTGTCTTCCTCATAGCTTATTGATCTCTTTGACAAAAGGGGTCCATGAAAGCCTCCAAACGGAACCTTAGATTCTCAAACAAACAGGGGTGAAAGGAGTTGATAGAGACCACTAGGTGCACATCAGCACTGATGATGAAGGGGGCACCCAGGGTGAGAGAGACTCCACCCAAGGCCACACAGCATGTTTGTGGCAGAACTAGGAGCATATTTTGAACTTCCTGTGTCAAGAGCCCTCCCCCAAACCCAGCCTGAGGGAGTCGTTGCTGAGCACTGACCGTGGCTTCTTTTAGGCGGTAGAAGTCAATGTGCAGGTAGGCATTGATGCCATTGGAGGCGCCGGGCAGCGTGATGCCATGGACCAGGAGCACGAACAGCACTAAGTAAGGTAGCGTCGCCGTGATCCACACAACCTGGACAATGAATGGAAAAGCCTACTATAAAAGTGTCACTTGCCCCTGACCACGTGGTGGCCAGTTTCCTAGAGTGCCAGTCACTCCTTGCCCCTACCTCCTTTCATCTGGTTCACCAGCTACAGGCTTGCTCTCCAGGGCAGGCTTTGGGCCAGACTACAAAGACAGACCAGTGGACAGATCTAGATCTCACTCCAGAGAAGCTCCACACCTGGTGAAGAGTCAGCCATGTGGACAAGGGGCCAGGAGGGAAGCAAAGAGTGGGCCTCACAACGTGGATGCCTCCTCATGCTCTACAGTCACCTCTCCCGAGCCTTCAGCTAGCCTCAGCTTCATTGTCCTCACACACCAACGGTATTGGCTGCCGTATTGGTCTCACAAGCAAAAGAATAATTAAGTCTCTCTTCCTCCTTCCTTTTCCTCTTCTCTCTCTCTCTCTCTCTCTCTCTCTCTCTCTCT